GTAAAGCAAGTAATAAATTAATTTTATTGAAACTGAATTTTATTTTTAATGATCCCCCAAATAGAAAAGTCTAACGGAGTAAGATCGCAGGACCTATTGAATTCGCAAGAGAATTTGAAGCCTTAAACAACAATTAATGAAAATCTGTGCAAAAAGATTATTACAAGTGTAAAAAAAAAAACACTGAAAAATGCATTGAATCTAGGGGAAAGTATTTTGAACAATTATTTTAAGTTTACAGCCTATGTGTAGTGTAAATTAAGTTTCAATAACATTATAATAATACAATTGATTTATTTGTTTCAAACAAATACACTTACTCGTTAAACTGATTTTTGAAACACCCGGTATTACTTTTCTGAAGAAATCAGTTTTGCTTGCAGATTCACACAATTTCTACATGTCAGCGCAGAAGAATACTGCCATTCAGTGTTAGTTAGCATCATAGTGTCAAAGTAGGATGGGCGTCTGTTGTGTTATGTCTGTGACATTAATTATCATATTCTCTCTTAGATGTTTTTATCTTTACTGGTTATAACTGACTTAAAAATTCTCAGGGGTGGAGCGCTTTTAACTTAGTTAAAGTGAAATGTTTGCAAAGTTTTGTATCTTAAGAGGTTTTTTTTTCTTAAAACTTTGACTGTTATTAAAATTTGAAAATCTTTTAGGCAGACCTAAAATTTGTTTGATATGAATTTAGATATGTGGACCATCTTTGTGCTTAATTTTGACTGTATCGGCTTAGTATTTCAGTCGTGACAGTTGCCCAGACAGACAGACGCCACCTCATTTTATAATAGGTCTATATAGATAGATTGGTTTTGTAAAAATAATATGTTTAGACCTTGATGATATATTAGTAGTGCGCAATTATTAGCAAAAAAAGGTCTAACCCCAAAATCCAGAGTGAAAGCTAACTTTTGAATCAAAACTGAACAAGTTATATTCCTCGTTTGGTATGGTAAAACGTTACACCATTTTGAGCTTCGGGTTTGAGGGGAGTGGAGTTTAAGTTGGTATAGTAAAAATTGGTGTGGTAGTTTTTTTTGTTTTTATTGAATTCCTGTATTGGGAATAAGCTATTTATGCAAAACCGTTCTTCCACATACTAATTATCTAAGATGAAAGAAAAAAATCGTCTAATATGAAGAACACCAATTTCAAACAAGTGACACATAATGTTACAGTTTATTTTTACAAGAAAAAGATACAACTGAAACCTTCCCATCCGAAAAGATTGTTAGGTGTAGTGATTGGAAGCAATTTGGGTAGCACAGGTTCATTCCACAATGCACTGTATAGTGTATAGCTTCCTCAAACAAGATTGGAGCCATCTCATGGGAAGGGGGACAGTCTTCTGACCGCTGGGACTAACGATTAGGCTTTTCATTTCGGCTTTTCCCTTCATTTGGGAACTTGTTAGGGTGGGATGGATATGAAAACATCCTCTCTGAGCTACACAATCTGGGAGAAGCAGGGGACTGGATTCTTGTTTTAGACCTCAAGCCAGACGATGATTCTCTCTTGCTGGTCAACATAGCTTTGCTGCAGCCTTTATCAGCCTGTCTCTTGAGATATTGGCACTTGAAAAGCTGTACCCTCAAATGTTGAATTTTAGCAGCATTCATTAGCATACAGCATCCTCCAAACTTTCAGAACCTTCAGCATACTTCTTCATTGGATAACTTAGTCGATGATCTCCGATCTGGTAGTGCATGTCTTCTGTAGTGGACTTGATGGTCAAAATGCCCTTGCCACGAGCTGAAACAATGACAAAAACATTAATTGTCTTTATACATCTATGGTTCATGGCTTTCGGAAGCGGTGGACAATGCCTTCATTGAAGCAATTGTCAATCAACGTACTGAAGACGACTGCTACCGCGTAATGTTGCCTGGTTACCTGTCTTCGCCCGAGACTGGCCCCAGCAACTGGTTGACGTCTCTGCTTCACACGGACAACACCTTCATTGAGGCAGTTGTCTATCGACTTACTGAAGAAGACTGCTGGCCACGTAATGTTGCCTGGTTACCTGTCTTCGCCCGAGACTGGCCCCAGCAACTGGTTGACGTCTCTGCTACACACGGACAACACCTTCATTGAGGCAGTTGTCAATTGACGTACTGAAGACTACTGCTGCTGCGTAATGTTGCCTGGTTACCTTACATCTTACATCTTACATCTTACATCCGGTGTCTTCTCCGCAATCAGCCGATCGGGGAATCGTCAATTTTCATCTTAAGCAGGGTCTTCTTTCTTCACGAGGCGAGCCGTGAGAAAGTTTGACCAGACACAGTCTGAGATTTTGTTGTAGGGCCTATCAGTAAGGTATTGTTTAAGTTTTATGTTGAAGGTATGAGTTGGTGGTAGATTTTTTTAGGTCTTGAGGCAAGAGATTGAAGAAAAAGGAGCCTGAATAGGTTGGGGCTTTGTTGAATTTTTAAAGTCCATGCTGTGGTAAGTCAATGTTGTGTTTGTTGCGAGTGTTGTAGGAGTGTTTCTCTTGTCGTAGGACTGGGGATTGTTGTCTGGCCAGGATTATGGTTTCATAGATATAGAGAATAGACAGTGAGGATTTTATGCTGGGTAAAAAATGGTTTACAGTGCTCTGAGCGTTGAAGGCGCAATATTGATCTCAGTGTCTTCTTTTGTCGAACCATAAAGCGGTCAAAGTTCTTCTCTTTGGTGGATCCCCAGGCGACAATTCCAAACCGCAGATGGGAAGTAAATAGTGAGTGGTAAGTCAGTATTGCAGTACTTTCATCTGTTATTGCTCTAATTCTCCCAATTACGTGGTAAGCCGTAGCTAATTTATTGCAGAGATGGTCGGTGTGATCTTGCCAATTCAAATTTTGGTCTATAATAACTCCCAAGAATTTGGTTGATGCAACAACGGGAATCTTCAATCCTTGCCAGTCCTCTTGTCCTCTATTACTGTTGTTAAGCTTAAAACTACCTGTCTTCGCCTGAGACTGGCCCCAGCAATGGTTGACGTCTCTGCTACACACGAACACCACCTTAATTGAGGCAGTTGTCAATCAACGTACTGAAGACGACTGCTACCGCGTAATGTTGCCTGGTTACCTGTCATCGCCCAAGACTGCGATGGCCCCAGCAACTGGTTGACGTCTCTGCTACACATGGACAACACCTTCATTGAGGCAGTTGTCAATCGACGATTAATACTGAAGACGACTGCTGCCGCGTAATGTTGCCTGGTTACCTGTCTTCGCCCGAGACTGGCCCCAGCAACTGGTTGACGTCTCTGCCACACACGGACAACACCTTCATTGAGGCAGTTGTCAATCGACGATTATTACTGATGACGACTGCTGCTGCTTCCTAATGTTGTCTGGTCAAACTAATTAATACAGTTGAACCTCTATAAGACAAATTTCAAGGGGTACGGCAAAAATTCGTACTATATAGAGGTATTCTTAATAAAGAGGGTCGTTTTATCGAGGTTTAATGCTACTGTTTTTCTTCTTATAGAGGTTTCTCCTCGCTCCAAGGTTTTTCCAAACAATGACTGAGGAAGGAGGAGGGATGGGTGGGGGTTTCATGTTGAGACAAGCTTCTGTTTGTTTTGAAAACTACGTACTATGGAGGTTAAAATTATGATAAATTCGTATTATAGAGGTCACGTTCGTCTTGTAGAGGTTTTGTGCTAAGAATATTCGTTGTATAGAGGTTAATCAGTCCTAGCCCATGTCACAAACAAATTCGTCTTATGGAGGTTTTTAACTTAATTACTACGTTGTATAGAGGTGTTTTTAGCATTGACCTATATGAAAGTGTCAAGGGGATTAAAAAAAATTTGTCTTATCGAGGAATTTGTTTTATCAAGGTTCGTACAAACGAGGTTTAACTGTATTATGTACCGTAAAATACAAACGAGTACTTATCTTTTGTTGTAAAGGTCCACCAGTTAACAATCCTCTAAAACAGCGACTAAGTTTTGGATGAAGTAGGAGCTACCGTGGTTGAAGGCCTTCTAAAGTAGAGATCCTACAAAAGCTCGGGTCTTCTAAAAGTCCGTCGTCTTACTCCAAGAGTAACCTACAAATTACAAATATGGGTTGCAATTTGCAATGATTCAAAAGGAAACTTGTCTTAGTTTTCCACTGAAAACTTATCATAAATATACATCAGCATCGACAGTAATTCTTTACTAGCAATAATATTTTTTGTGGAGAGATACATTATCCAATTTTAAAAATTTTACAAATAACAATTCTAGAACTTTAGAGCAATAATGCAATTTTCAACACATACAAATATTTACATGGACAATTAATACAATTATTACATTAACTCTATAACCGCATCAATAATACTGCTTTACAGTTACAAAATTTAACTTACCAATGAGCTAGGCTTGGTGTTTTTGGGCATCCACTTCAAATCCTTTTTCAGGACCATTGATTTCTACTTTCTTTGACCAGTGTAAGATTTTTGTGTAGACCCTCAGTTTTATCATATTCTGATGATTGTAGACATGCTTGTACTTTGAAGTTGATACTCTGTATACAACAAATTGTTCTTTTTTAGGTAGGCCTACTCTGCAAAAATATGCAATTCATAAATGTGATGAATCAGTTTCCATGGATACATAATTTAAATTTTCGTGGTCGTGGCATTATTTTTTTAGATAAAATCCATTCGTGATTTAGCGATATTTGAGCCCAGAACCTCTGGGTCCGAAGTCCCACTCTCTACCACCAGATCAGCTTGCTTCCCTAAGCTTTACCAGTTAGATATAACCATTATTTATAAGTTTTCAAAAACAGATAATTTACTTTTTTGTTGACTGATTGCTTGGGATAGTAATTTGTATATTATCATCCTAAGCACATTTTGCCAGATTTGTTTATAAGCCGTTACAATATAATTGATTGCCTTATTGAATCATTCCAATATTCTTCACTTCTATTGTGCTGTATGCAACCATGTGTCTGTTTATGTCATAACAGATATGTTACCTCCTGTTATACTTGTAGGAGCTGTGGCGCTAGTGTACGTAGGTCAGCCGTTAGACACAGTCAAGGTCAAGATGCAGACGTTCCCTCGTATGTACAACGGTATGTGGGACTGTATGAAGCAGACAGTCAAGTACGAGGGGTTGCTGCGAGGGTTGTACGCAGGAACTGTACCTGCCCTGGTGGCCAACTGTGCGGAAAACTCTGTACTGTTTGCCGCTTACGGCGCATGTCAGAAGGTCGTGGCGTATGCTACCAACACCCCGGTAAGTTATTGTTTGTCCAGGCAGAAAGGTTACGGAATACAATCCATGCATAAAATCTAGGTTTGACTGTTTGTCCTTTGTGCATTTTCACAATGTTTCATCCTATCACTATGAAACGTAGAGAACTCAATTTATATCTTCGGAAGTTTTCATCTTAGGCCCTTTTCATGCACAGTAGCGGGTTTGAGGTGCTGCTGAAAAGATGCTGTGAAATTCACTCGCAATTCACAATCTGTCGCCAGCTAGTTTTTTATATAAACTGTGGTGGGGGAAGTGCTGCAAAAATTAATCAGTTGTTCGCTACCACATTGATATAATCAATCCTTGTGTGATAGTTTACGCTTACCATGTATTTAAAAGGAATAAACGTAAAAGCTGACTTTGATTACCAGCTATTGAAAAGTAGTGATTCCACAATCGAGTGAGCCACAACACGGTGCATACAAAGATCCATTTCAAGCGATGTACTTATAGAACCACAGTGGCGAACAAAATCGCTTAGAGCTCTACACTTTAAATAAGACAACAACTACAACGCATGTTCATTTTTCAGAGAGTAGAGGACCTAGGTGCGCTAGGAAATGGAACAGCTGGATGTCTAGGAGCTTTCTTCTCCTCTTTCACCCTCTGTCCTACCGAGCTCATCAAAGTGCAACTACAAGCTGCAAGAGAGTTTGCCTTGGCTAATAATAATCAGGAGGTGATTGTTACCTTATGAAACCAGTCTTGCCTACACACAAATGAGGAAAGAAATCATAATTTTTAAAGTTAATTTTTTATTTAATATTATTTTATGTTGTTTTTTTTCAAAGTTAGATATTTTTGGGCAATTGCAGTAGCATAGAATGTTTAGTCATGCAATTCCAATTTAACTACTTAAATGTTTGTAAACCTCTTTGTTTACTTGTAAAATTGTCTCAATTTATCAGCAAACCTAATGAAATAGGTTCTGTGAAATTATTATTACACTGGTTAATTTAGCTACACTTGTAAATTTACCATTACAGTAATTACGTTTTTCTTCATTATTCATTAAAAAAGGCTTTCCAATCAATCATAGTTCACCTACACATTCGAAAATAGGTAGGGAAAGTGTTGTACATAATGTATGTAATGTTGTATTTCTGAAATAAGTATATTGGCTTGAAAGTATTTTAATGTTCCCTTTTCAGCATGTGTTGTAAAAAAAATTTATAATGATTAAAGTGTTGAAAAAATCATATACAGTCCAACCTCAGTATAACGAATCTGAAGGGACCGAACTAAATATTCGTTATATCAAGGATTTCGTTAAAACGATGTTCGTTATATAGAGGTTATGTTTGCAGGAATTTCGCTAAGTCGAGGTTCAGAACCAGTGTCGGTCAATATAGGTCGGGATTAGACATCATTAAAACACAATTAAAGTAGCATAGGCTACAATACTTTACAGTACAGTGTTTACATTGTACAGTAGAACCTAAATTATCCGGCATAAAAAAGGGGAGGGATCTTGAATATTGCGCAATCATGAAAATGGCATTGACCTTGGCACAGGTAAAAAAAAACTGTAAGTTTAAAATCACAACTTGTTCTAACCCTCCTAAAACCTAGCCAAACACTTTATTGCGTAGTAATAAACCATGTAAAGAACAAACAAAACAGTAGTAGAAAGTTTTGTAAGCTACTGCTCGTGATAGGCCGGTAGGCTACTTACAGTACAGTACTGATTTATCACAACAGAGGAATGTCAATAATAATCATTAACTATAGCATTGATGTTGCTAGTTGAAACAAATCGTATTGAAAACAATAAATTATTAGATAAGTCATTATAAAAGTGTATAATCAGAGCCAACTTAAAGATACCGGTAATAAAAACACTCGAAAAAGGAATGTTAAAATAACGATGTTGCTATTCTTTCTCTTTGGTTTTGTTTTTATATTCTTTCTTAGGTTTCTCTTTATCCAAAAATTGTACAATTCACCATAGTTACTTATCGCCCAATCACAGCTTACTAAACATTACGTCGTCATCAGTCCTCAGTGAATGAAATCAGTTCTCAGTTGCAACATAGCGCGCACAGCGACAGCAGACAGAGATGTGTAGAACGGAGCAGAAGAATTTAGCGCAAGCGATTACGTCACCTTTCTATTTCATTTGATAAAGAAACAGATTTTTCAAAAACAATAATGGGGTGGGGGATTTGATATATCGAGGGAAAGACGTAGACAATTCGTTATGCAGAGGTTAAATTCGCAATGTAGAGGTTCTGACAATGATAAATTCGCTATATTGAGGTGTCTTATTTTAGCCGAAATCATGAAAATTTCGTTAAATCAAGGTCGTTGTTATGGTTTGTTCGTTATGTAGAGGTAAAATATACATTGTGTCTTATGGAGAGTTCTAGGGGATTTAAAAAAATTTGTTATATCAAGGAATTCGTTGTATCGAGGTTCGTTATATTAAGGTTAGACTGTAGTTCTGTTGTTTGCTTCCATTGTTTTTGCTTTGATAGGCCTACTATATTTTATGTGTACACGATTGTGTATTCTGAGATAGGCTACTGTACAAATTATACCCATTTTATTCTTAATAGCCGTAAACAAACTTTGAGATCAGTTTACGCCTTTCAAAATTAATCCATCCAAAATATAAGACAATTTTGCTGACTACTTGAACATTAAAAAAATCAATCAATAAAAATGGAGAAAACGTTGTAACAAATGACAAAACCATATTTTACAGAGTACAACATTTTATTTTTTTAAGTCAATCATTTGTCGGCAGGTGAGAATCGGAGCGTTGAAGCTGACCAAAGAGATCATCAGGACGGAGGGGGTGGTGGGGATGTTCCGAGGCCTCGGCTCCACCATTGCCAGGGAGATGCCCGGCTACTTTGTCTTCTTTGGTGGTTACGAAGCCACCAGGACGCTACTGACTCCTCCCGGCAAGACTAAGGAGGACTGTGGTGAGTTGAAACTTGTCACTGTCGGAGACTGGTTCGAAACTAGGCTATGAATGAAAAAATAAGATTGGGATGGGACAAACAGTTTTACCAGGACATTTTGAACCTCCTCGAGAATCCTGTTTTGGTTTAGGAGAACATCTTGTAACCATCTGGTGGATAGTGGGTCTTGAGTAGACTTTATCATTCAATTCTGTTGAAGGAAATTGTCTGCATAAATGTTTCGCATCTAAGATACACATAGTGTTATTTTTCTGTAGTTATCTTATGATTTGGATGGTTATGATTTGGAAAGGCTCTAGGCCAAGAATTGGAATTATAGATTAATAAGGGTAGCAGCTAGCTTACCTTGAAGTGAGGTAGGCCCCAGAACATACAGAAGAGGCACTGTGCACACAATATTTCGTCCCCTGAGGGACTTTGTCAAGTGACTTGTGAATATACTTTTATCCCACCCGAAGATCAGGGATATACATTTTTTTAAGAATATTTCCTGAAACTTTGGGGCTCATACATCCCTAATTAGCAACTTCCATGCTTATATAGAGCTTGTAACAAGGGTAAAAAGGGCTACAATATTTGTAACACTATTTTAAACTCATGTTGTATCATATTGATTAGTGTATCAAAATGTTTCCACTATTGTCGGCTATGTTGGCAGGCCTGTTGCCTACAATGGCCGCCGGAGCAGTAGGAGGTGTGGCGCTGTGGAGTGTTATATTCCCTGCGGACCTGGTCAAGTCTAGGATACAAGTCAACTCTCTCAATGGTTCCTTCCTTACTGTCACACTCGACATTGTCAAGAAAGAAGGTAATTACTGAATACTCAAGGATTTTGTGAGGATAGCAGACTTATCTGAATGGATAAGAGTCCACTCTGCAACAAGAAACATTATACTTTACATTATAAACAACAGTTAAGAGATTTCACTGTCGGTGACAGAATTTTGAATTAAGGAAGGTTTGATTTGGGAAAACCTACTAGCCTAATTAGTGTCAGAATCTAACTTCTTGTATCTTGTATGGTGTAAAGGAGAACACACCCCAGCTGTCTATCTGTGTGCGCAGACGTTCAGATGCTGTCAGCACATACTGAATCGTCTTTCCAGTGGCCAGACGATTCTAGCGCTGGGATACCTTGTTGTCATGCAGCCCAATCTAAAATTATATTATAAGATGAGAGATATTATAAATTATAACAAAGTATTGTCATTAGATAGTGCTTATGCATAAAAATTTCCATTTAGCCTATGTCATTTCAAGAAACTAGTTTATTTTTCCAGCCACATGTTCAGTATGATCTACATACAATCAGATGTGGTTGGAAATACTGGACATTCACAATTGAAAACAAACAAATGGCATGGTACCTTTTTAAGTTATAGCTTATGACTATTAATACAACTAGTCATTCCATCCCCATGTTAAAGTTGTACCCAGTATTTTAATCAAAATCATCGTAGTTGATGTGAGCCAGTGACAGATTTTGCTGATCTAAATTACTAATTTCTCTTGAATACAAGCATTTTTTTTTTTTTACCAAGTCAAACTAACAAAATTACTTATTGTGGAGCTATAGCAACTGTTATGGCTCATCAACTAAGTCAGCAATAAAAAATAAGGTAGAAAATGGAATCATTGACTATATGGAATCTTAGAGTGCCTCACAGAACTATGTTCTTTTTTAACACGTTCACTGCTGACCGCTAGATGCCGGGACGGCGCCAGGAGCTGAACTAACGCTCGCCGCTGCGTAAACATTGCTGCCGATACACTGAATTACAATAAAAACAACAGTAGTTATACTGGATGGCAATGTTCTGAAATAAAACTGGCTTTGGACATAGTACTAAGTGGTTCTGATAGATAGCAACACTACCCAGGTTGCAGTCGATAAAGTAGTGTCAATATCTAGCAGGAAAGAGGTGGAACAAAGCCCTGTTCTAAACGACCCTAGTGGTGATTTTGGGAAACTATATTTTTTATTGTCAGACAAGTACGTCCCCACGAGCAGCAAAGAAATATAGGACGCTCGTGACGAGCTCGCTGATCCATGGAAACGTAAAATAACAATGAACGGTGACGTTCCGGAACATTCCTAGCTCCTGGCGCCGTGGCCCGGCTGACGTTCCGGAACATCCGTAGCAGCGAACGTGTTAACAAAAAATTGGCAACAGCTGGTTCATATAGATGGGATATCTGCTCCAGTATCCAATGGTAATATCAATGGTTATAGGTATTAGCTCTTACGACTCCTCCATTTCAGCAGCATTTCCGCTATTATCCCATATCAGTAAAATCTATTTTTAGATAGTACCCAGTAATCTAGCATTAGTGAGTGTCTAATCTAAATATCTGACTAAACAAATATTTACCATTAATACAAACCTCATGTTTCAGGTGTATTGGCGTTATACAGTGGTCTTAGGCCAACCTTAATCCGTACCGTTCCAGCCACCGCAGTCCTATTTGTCGTTTATGAGTATTCCAAGAAATTTTTCACTAGTTTATGCTACTGAAGAGCTATTTCCGACAGATCTTTACTCTCTGCATAGAACTACAAAGTGCATTTATTTTGTTTCTGGCTCCAAGTCAGTAAGTTAATATTTATTTGTTAATACCAGACATTGTGATACCTGATGCCTTTAAAATATGACTATCAACAAGTTATGGCACTGTTACCACAAAATATAATGTTTAAGTATTGTTAGAAAGTACTTATATATTATTTGAATTTATGATTTTTGGAAAATACATTTTATCCTAGACTTGCAACTAAAGGATCTATTAACTAGGTTTTTTTTTAATTTTTCCAATGACTTCATTTAGCTTTATATGCTGAAACTTTGGAATACCTTACTAGTTAAAAAACTTAGTTAGTTAGTTCCATAGTCATATTCAGTATACTGCCCTTTCTTTTTAGTCACATCAAAGCTACCAGTTGTTTGATCTATGTTATCCTTTTGACTACCATCACATCTGGTCCAATGGTATATTAGCTGTCCTTCCAGAATGAAGTTTTCATAAATTTCTCAGATGTTTGTTGTGAACTAAGATCCAAAGTTAACAGTATGTTAAAGGTGTACAACTGAGGAAAGAAGGTATTTGATAGAACTAAAAAATGAGATTTGAGCAGATTAGCTTAGTCACAGAGAAGTAAGATACCTAGATGAAACATGCTTATGGAACAACTGTGCGCTTTTAGCTCGGGAATGGTAGTGCGGAAATATACTAGTACCGAGCCAGGAAGAGCAGTTGCACCGCACTGGCTCTTCCTACAGCGTGAGGGCTATAGTACGTGAAGGTGAGGGGGAGAGAAGAGCGGAAGGGGACGACCAATAGAATTTTAACTAGAGACACAAGCGACTTTTGTTGGACACGACTTAAGTATTGAATGTTTCCTTTGTATCTTACTTCTCTTTGGCTTAGTTAAAATGGAGATTTAGTTATTACTGTACTCTAAAACCTATTTCGCTTCTTAAGCTTTTGAGTTTTTTAGGTCAATCAGTATTTAACACTCAATAGATGGAACCTATTAGAGGCTAGTTTAAATCGTTCTTTCAGTAGTTACTATTCTGATACATCTCTGAAAGCAAGGAAAAGATATTACACGTATGTGGAAAAGACTGTAAAAAAGACTCATTTGGACTATAAACCAGGAACAAATTGTGACTGGTAAAAGAGATTGGGGTATGACCATCAGGGAAGTGCCGAATTTACTACTTGCGGCCCTTGGCCAAATTGACTCGAGTGGCCCCCACCGCTTAGGTGGAACTTTCCCGCCATCACAGGCAAAATCATGAACTTCTCTTATGATCACAGGACATCATAACCAGTGACCGTGTCAAATACATACTTGGACTTGGTAAATCTGGCACTGATTATATATATAAGTCAAGAAGAAGATGTCTTTTTTAGTCTTGCTCCACCTTAATCGTTTCTGTAACTTTTTCTCATTAGTATGGGTGATCTTTTTATTAGGTCAATAAGATACAATAACGTTGACGGCCTTAGTAATTGTCTTCCATTTTATCTAGCAGGGTATAAATGGTCCAAATGTTAATGTTGCCTGCTCAAATTTTGAATTTCCATATCGGTACTTCAGAATTTTAGAATCAACCAACCGTACGATTGGTGTTCTATCATAGACTAACACAAGTAGACTTGTCATTCCATTGTACAGTATGAAGATTGTTTCTTATTGTATTTTATGTTTGAATTTATGATTTGTGCTTTACTTTATGGTTATTGGTTATAAAGTAACTGGCTGGGTAGCTGAGTGGTTACAGTGCGCTGAGTTGATTGTTTGTGCGTAAAAATCAAAAGGTTGCTGGTTCGATCCTGAGATATGTCAGTTGCTTTTTTAAGGTTTTCTGGACCCAGCTGTTCCTGAACATTGGGCTTAAAATAAATGATCCTGGCTAATGAAACAGCTGGTCTTAGTCAGTAACAAAGCTACACGGATCATCCCACTTCATTCTACGCACCCTTCACTCGTATTTGGGTTAAAATACACACCAAGGTGGTGTCCCCATCTCAATTCAAGTTATCTTCAGCTGATCCATGAGGATGACAAGTCTACTTTTAATCAATGGATCTAAGGACATAACCTAGTTGAATTATTGCAATTGGTGGCCATGTTTTTTAATTCTTCAATGTCTCATCCTCTAAGGGAAATCTGTTACTATGTTCTGTAATTGACAATGCTCCGAGTGAGATTACCATAATGTCACATATCCTTTAGTTAAATGTGAGGACAACTTGTTACACAAATCATACAATGGCACAATTAATTTTCTGCCAAAGATGTTTAGTTAGGTGTAAACTGCATTAATGTTAGGTTATATATTTTTAGTGTTATATTATAGAGGAAAATATCAAAATCAAATACTCAAGAGTAAAGTTAAAATATTTGTTTTGTATTCTATAGACTTCAAATTTAAACAATATTGTTGATTGTTGTGAATTTAACAAATATTCATGATAATTTGCATACGGTACAAGTGATGAAATTGTTAAATATAAGTGTTTAACACGTTATTAAAAGTCCTACAATACACATAAGGCAACATGTGTTGGTAAGTCTCTAAGGCATACTTTTGATTATTTTATTAAAGTTTATGTTTTCTTAATAAACACTTGGATTTTTCCTCCATTCCTTTTTTCACACCTTTGAGCTTTATCAGTTGAAAAAAACATTTAATCACATCTTGTTTTTGTAGATGTTTCAGTGCATTTCACGTGTGAACATTTAACACTGTTAGTAGAAGTGAAATTTGTATGAAGATAAAACATAGCATGTGTACTACCTAACAAGATGGTCCTTTGTGTGATCGCACCAAAACAGTTTTAAAAAGAAATATTTTCATCTTCAAAATCTAGTGTTTGAGAATTTCAAACCTTAACAGCTCAGTAATTTAATTTCACAAAATGCCACCACATTTATACTCTTAAGAGGGTTCCACCCGCCGGCTGTTTATGCGTAAACATGGTCTACAAAAAAGAACCTCCTGGCAATATTAAAGTGTTAATCGAGTTGAAATAAACTGTAACAAATTCACAAAGATCCATGCACTGGATAAACTAAAACTTTGTGTTCTTGAAGTGTTTACTAAATAATTTTGAAAATGCGTAAATTAGTATTTTTCACATGCAATTTTAACTTCTAAATAATAGTTACAAATTATTTTTGCTCCACCCACTGCAAGCTCTGATATGTTAAGAGCACAACAAGCACACAATCATTGGAAACAAATTAGTTTTAGAATTTTGAGAGCTTGTACCGTAGAGGCTTGTTCAGGAACATTAGCATGTTTAGCCGCCATCTTGAATTGACCAGGTAGAACGCCAAGGAGAAATTATTTCGAACAAAATCAAAATACTTTGCTTCTTAAACTAACGGGTATGGAAAAGAACAGACCATTTGCTTTATTACCTCTTTATTTTACTAAAATCATAAAATAATATTAATAAAACAATAATCATAAAATACATTTTTACTCGTACAGTCAATCAGTCAGTCACTCTTCTTTACACACTATAAATTATCATAACATATAACGAAAGCGTTGCAATACTGTATGGAAGCAGCTCCACCTCTACGAATGTAGCTAAACCTTCACTAATCTTTACTGCCTTGAACATTAACACCAAAAACATAACCTCTTTTACAATCTATCATAAGCCAATTGTTAGGTAAACATTTCTATTCCTTATCTTTGTGAATGCACCAAGTTTTAAAGTTTACATATTTAAAATTTTACTGAATGATTCTTCTCTCAGATCCTTAACAGAAGAGTATTAATTGTCATAAATAAATAACGCAAAGCACAAACAAACTAGTGCGCCTTTTCTGACACACAATATACAGTATGTGACCACCCCTTGAACGATTACTTGTAAATATAAAAATCTACAAAATATTATCCTATAATTAATACACTTTGGAGACTGAGGAATTAAGATTAAATAAGATTAGATATTATACATGTTTAGTCGATTCTGATTCCTGAAGGGAACTACAAATATTTACATACCCCTTGTTTTCATCACTAAACCCGAACAATCGAACTCGTAATGTTGAAGCCAGATTTTCTCTATGGATTTCAACTAATGTATAATACCATCACACAAGATCACAGCTACACATATTGACAGTAAAACTATACATTGCTTTGTAGGAAAAGTCCTAGCAGTTAAACTGACTACCAGTAATAAAGTTACAAAAATATTTTAAAAGTCTATAATATTTAATTCTTGTCTTATATCTTGGAAAACATTACATTTACAGGAAAACCTGCATTTTCTTTTAACAATTGTTAGGGTAATTTAAGTCTCATTGTATTTGATTTTGTACATGCAACGATAACGTAAAGTCCTATATAAAATAACTCATACGATTTAAAAAGTATCATAACTAATTAAAATAGGTACAATTTAATATTTTTGGCATTATTCTTCTACTTCATGTACCTTGGGATTGACAAGTGTTGATATGTATCTTGATTACTGGTGAATTGGCATTTACTATTCGACTACAGAAATCTACGAGGGAAATGGTAGACGGAGACAAGGCAGGATCGACGAAGGTTTAACACTAAACAACAGTTTATCACAAACGAAGAGCACAGAAGTAAAGTTCTAACAGCAACAGCGTGTAACACTAATAACAACAGACGTTATGTCCTACAACAAGTATTTACAAATCAATAATCTATCTGAGGATATATTTTCCTTCCAACTCACTGAGTATGAAGGGAAAAGACATTCTAACTGACATGAAATATATGAGTTTTTCTGAAACATTCCCCAAACCAACACTTATGTTTCCTATTAGTGTATTTGAAGATTTAAGCTTAATCAAACTATAGTTACTATGCGTTTGTTAAATATACTTATAATCAGTTTTATGTACATTTAATTATCGGACTTTTAAACTTTGAATACTAAATTACGCTATTGAAAAGTGCTCCCAAAGTGATGTGTCAGAAAAAGTACATATTTTACAGTCAGTTGCATTACAATATTGCAAAGTAGGGTTTCATACCTTTCTACTGCACCCAACGAAATAAATACTTTAAAAATCTAAATGAATTTTCTAATTTGCGAATTACAAATGAAAACTATACAATTTTTAATTAATTGGAAACCCTACGATGCAATAAAGCAAGTGTAGACCTCTTAGCAGTACCACCCTTTACTTTCAACCCAATATAAAATAACATTGCACATGAGTTCAGTGTAGAAACAGTCCTGATTATTTGTACATTTGGATAGAGCTTGCAAAACTGGCTACAGTTTTGTCTATGTTCTTACTTGTAATAACATATTTGCAAAATTAGAATTAGTGAATTTGAAATGCCTCTTGTCGTAGAACTTGAGGAGCGCTGGGCTGTACGGATGGTTGTCCTTGAGATGGAGATAGTGTACCTCCGGCTCATTGGTCGTGTGTCCACACTCCTCGCAAACGTACATCTGCAAACAGACGGGTTGGTTAGTTGTGAAATGCCTTGAAATAACTAACAAATCAGATCATTGCTGCAGAGTTTTTGGGAGAAGAAATCAAATCGAACAAGATGAGGAGAACGGGTTATCAGATGACGGAAGGATAACAATACCATTTGAGTAAATATGGCAGGACAACTTCTGCGTCTCAGTCATTGAAGAGCGAGAGGCCCACACCCATGCTATATGCAAATTTTTTAAATGGCTTGAAACTATAAGCGGTCTGGATCCTGAATACCTTGGTCTGGAATCTTTCTCATAAAATTACACTTGCGTAGACACCAGCAAAAGAGAAGTAAGACTAAACATTTGGGAAGGATGATGGAAGTAGAGACAAAGAAATTCAAAAGGCAATATTGTCTTGAGTGAGGATAGACTGCTCTTTGTATTTTAATAAAGAAACTTTGGCAGATCTCCGGTCATACTTATAAAACTTGGTTACTTTCATAGTTAAGAAAGGAGGAATTGAAAGCATTTATTATCAAACAGATAATACATTTCAGGATCACAGCCATAGAATCTATTCAGGGTCAGAACAAAATATTACCCATTATACAAGTTAGTAGTAGACAGAATTGCAATCTAACGTTTTTCTCATCAAGAATGGCTGTGTCCTTACTGTAACTTATCTTTTCACTAATATAGTCAATCATAAAGGGAATTCACAATTCAAACTGGAAATACATCAATCTCTAAGGATAACAGGAATGTTCACCTGTTATACACACATAGCTATTAATCATGGCTAAAAGAAAATCAATTGAAAGTATACAGATGGTTGTGGTAGTGAAACTAAAATAAGAAACAAATAGCATTCTCATAAAACTGCCCAGAAATAGGTTCTTAACATAGGTACTCAAGCATAACATAAATAAATAATAGATTTCTTCAGTACTTTTTAAGAACATTGAAATTGATTGAAATTTTTTTTAGCAAATCAAAGATTTAATTTGCTTGACTGTATAAGTCTCTTACAGCATTCCGTTTGGTAGAAACAAAAATGTAAATCCAGTTTAGAATTGGAAACGGTTATGATTGGTCTATTATTTATTTATATTAGTGAAGAGAATAAGTGTATCTGTTAATAATAAACCTTTTGCTGGAAGTGTCGTTTGTCGTAGAACTTTAGCAGCGCTGGACTGTATGGGTGATTCTGCTTCAGATGAATGTAGTGAACATCGGGCTCGTTGGTGGAGTGACCACACTCTTCGCACACGTACATCTATCATATCAAAACATGAATCTGTTGCCTCTATGCTTTAGGATTTGAGTACGTAAATTCTATGGTTAAGGTCTATCAAAATCAACCGTTCTTATATTGATGATAAGGCTACAATAACTATTTTAAGTTGAGAATGTAACATTAGGCACAAGAGCCTAGGTTTTAAGGATTTTTGTTAGGATAGCATGATTACTTGATTGGAGTATCACACCCTTACACAACAAACATGAAAACAAAACATTAAAATCACGTTTTTATTGCAGTATATTACATCAGGTCCTTAGTATTACAAATTCTCACAAAAATTTACTGGTACAATTTTTAATTCATTCCAGTTGTAGAATACCTTGAAATTCCCTGCATATTTCAGGAAAATTTAACTGTTACTCCTTGTAAATTTATGTTTACGATTGACCCAACTAAGTAGCTTAGTGGAAGCTGAACATTTTCACTGGTTTGCCTTTATGATTAATATTGTAACCATACAAATTGGTAGAACTATGGGGATGAGCAGTTTAGGTTTGAAAACATCAGGCATGTAAGATTATGCTTTATATGTGATACATAAACAATCTCTTGTGTTATCTTGTTTGAAACATATTTGAGTTTCTAAACATCTTTTTTTATCAAATACTAATTCTTTGCTACTATGTTTTCTGCTAAGTCCATGTCTGTAGAGTTATGGTAAATATCTACCTTTGTTCTCCGCTCCTTGTAGGCGTATTGGTGTTGGACTCCGTGTACTTTGAGACAGTGAGACTCCAGCGAGCATCTCTGAGTAAAGGACTTTTCACACAGATTGCATTTGTAAGGCCGCACTCCTGTGGAAAACATTTAGTTTGAAATTATCATGTTAATCAGGTGTCAACTTTCCCTGGGTATTTATAGATAGGTTAAAGAGAAAAGAGGGATCAGAAAATCCTCAAATCGTTGTACAAAAGCAACGTTTACCCTTTTTAGCTTCAAGATGGTATATAGCCTTTGGAATATGACTACCAATGTTGCTAATGCTATCCAAAGGATTATAAATAAGAAACAATAAATTTACTAAAATAGTACAAAACACCTTCACTACATTTTTAAGTAATCAAAATCCAAACGACAAACTGGCTGTATATGTTAGAGTTGTTTTCTGTTGCAACAAACTTTGATGCATTCTCTTTAAGTAATAAGGTTTGAAGTGGGTATCAACATACATTTTTTGATTGCTGAAGACTTATGATAGAAAACTATAGAGAAATGTACAAATAAACTTAAAACCCTTAGCCAAATCTTTAATTTTATCTACTCCCCGGAAATAACTGTCCAAAACATATATTGAAGCAAACAATACATACCTGTGTGGGTACGAGTGTGTCGCTTCAAGTCGAAGGTGTCGTTAAACCCCTTGCCACAGAAGGTGCAGAGGTAGCGTTTGACATCGCTGTGACATTTCATGTGACGGTTTAGTAGTCTTTGTAGACTGAAGGTTTTGGAGCACAGATGGCAGGCGAAGCGGGACCCGTCTCTCAGGGGTTTCGTGTCCTCAGACTTCTCCCCCTCGGGTCTGGACGTACTGTGGGACATCTCCTGATTGGCCAGTGGGTTCTTGATGCCATGACCTCCGTTGACAAACTCCAATGCAATGTCTCCTGGCAGACCAAGCTGAAAGAAGGTTTAAGGTTAAATTTTATGTTAAAAAACTTTATAAAGATTGTGATATTGATTTTTTTCCTGATCAACCTTCACACCCTAGGTCGCTAGGCTCTTGCCACAAATTGTTTAACATCACTTTCAGACAAGGCCTTGATGGTTGCGGCATTATCAAATAGGTAAACCCTTTGGCAATTGGCCGGATTTCAACCAAAGACCCAGGCTCTGTCTTATTTTCTCTTTGTTATTGATCTGCCACTGAGCACTTCAATCTTGAGTATTATCTATTTTAGGTACAAGCAGAACAATTAATCATGTTTGACTTTTCAATAAACTTTTCAGTGTCGCCTTTTGGATTCAGTAACTACTTAAAACAATCAAGCCCAAAACCAAAATAAGCTTCAATGAGTTTATAGGAAGGAGAAAAATTGAAATTGTCCTCAAGTCATATGATTATGGAGAAAGATAGACTTTTTAAAGTAAAGTGCTGGAGTTATTATTGTTGAGTAGATTAGGTTCTTTTCCACATTTATCACCATTTGACATGCATTGCACAAGCTTTTCCCACATCCACACTCTTTCCAAACCAAACCACCAGAAACCAAGAGCAAAAGTTTTGAGATGAGACTCACCCGTCGCTTGATGACGCCAACGCGCACCTGTAGCGAGGGTATAGAGGCGATGTCCCCTGAGGGAGGCGGGGAGAGCGAGCCCGTGCCATCCAGGGAGCAGCTCGTGGGGGAAGGGAGAGACATAGAGGTGCTGGAGTCAAGCTCCAAGGAGCTGAGTCCAGGAGACAACAACCCTGCCTGACCACCGCCCTGCGCAACAGATACAACATGAACGTTCGGCTCAACACGGCTATCGTTCTACTCATTGTCACTATTTTGGTTTTAAGGCTGATCAGGTTATTTCTAATTTAGCTCAAAATTTTAGTGTTGTACTAAGTGAGGTTGAGTATTACTGCTTGTTTTGCTACTACTTTTAGGTCATTTGATGCTTAAGTAGGCATCCATCAAAATTTCACAGATCAGTCGATGCTGAAGTACATTCATCAATATATCATCAGTTTTTGTCTGGATTTACTCAGGAAGAATGTAGTTGAATCAGCTGCTTGCGGAAACTGCTACCGTAAAAATTATTATTCCCTTTTCATTTTTGATATTTTAATTATTTATTTGACACAAGAGATGCTATCATTTTCAGTACGTTATCCTTTTAATTTGGATTTTTGAAAGTTTGCATGTACAATACATATCAGTACTTGACATCAGCACAATCAGTCAGTAGCTCAAGATTTCAAGTATGTCCAATTTCACTCTACAACTTGCCAAAATAATATATGAATGATATGTCCTCCACTTTTAAGTAAAAGGTAGAACCATAGAAAAATAGAATAGATATAGACTGTCAAAGGTAGATTCTGCAATGTGTTCTTTATGTCTATGGTACAACCATCCTAATTTTCCCATGAGTATGCCTATATTTCTTGTATTTTACGTTGCTACAATGCACCCACCTCGCTCTGTTGGCCCTGCTGAAGCTGGACTTGTATCTGCAGCTGTTGACTGCTGTCGTCTGTTAGTTGTTGGAGCGTCAGATCTCTCTCCTTCACCAGCTCGTGGTAGCCAGGAGGAAGCCCTCGCACCCCCACCACTCCCCCCGCTGCAGCAGCCCCGGAGCTGGTGGGGAAACTGCTCCTACTGCTGGACGGCACCTCGGGAAAGCTGGCTCGATGTCCGGGAAACGGATCAACCGATGGTTCCACTGGAGGTGGGATAGTCTCCGTGGGTTGCTGTAAACGTGATACGATTTAGCATTCGGTTTGTGGATATTGTAGAAAAATTTGTGATTTGAAGGTGGTAAATTTATTGTCGTGTGAAAGGTTCCTGTATACAGTTACTTCGCAAATATTTTCATATTTCCCTCTTTTGCTTTAAAAGATTGAATTTATTAGCTCAATGCTATTTACATGAAACTGAAAAAGAACTGTTTGCATATGTTTGTTATTATTGTAGGTTAGTATGACTTACTGTGATGTTTTAAAAGAATTTAAACAGAATTATATCCATCACTCACGTTTAAATTACTGATACTTGTGTTTACTTTTTAATAAACGATTATTTAAAATTGAAAAATGAATAATCGCATAGGCTTGTACAAGTGTGTAAAATGTTATTTACCATAAATATTTGCTTAGCTTTAGATAAAACCTTAGGAGATTTAGTTTTATATTTCATGCTGTACGTAAGCCTTACCTCTCTCAGGAAGAGCTCAGCTGCGTCAGACAGAGACTCTAGCAGAGCCGAGTGGTCAGGGCTGGAGAAGGTGAGGGTTGCGGTGAACTGCAGAGGGTCGACCACGGCCCCTGTCATGGCGTCCACCATCACATCATCGTAAGGTAGGAATGCCCCCGAGTCCTTCATCATGTTGGCCAACTCCTCATCATCTTTGACCGACAACCCGTACTGCGCACAGACGTTCTGTAGCAACGAATACTGCTTTGGAAGTAGCTCTGCTCCGGTAGGGAAACTCATTCCTGAGGTGTCTTGTCCAGTGTCCACATCCATCGGGAGTGGCGTCGACGTAAGCATGGACTGGTATTGGCTGCTGTACTGGTGAGGGTAGCCAGGAAGCCCTCCTCCTTTTAAACTCTCGTAGAAAGGAGGTAAGGAACCAGTTGGAGGACTGCTAGGTCCGTAGTTGGATTTTCCGTTCCCTCCAGGGTTTAATCCTCCACCCCCACCTGACCCACCTCCAACTGCTCCACCAGCACTGCTGGAGCTCAACCCGCCTCCTCCTGATGATCCGAAGGAATGACTCGAAGAACCTCCTTGTGACCCACCACCAGAAGCACCCCCTTGATTTCTAGAACCTCCTCCGCCACCACCATTTCTCGTGTGGCCAGCAGCAGCCATTAGGATCATCCCGCTTGGACTTAACTTTCTTCCTGCAGCGAGAAGAAGTTGACTTCGCTTGATAGCTAAAGCGATTTGTCTTCTTTTGGTTTCATCTAGAATTTTATGCTCTACTTCTTTCTTTGGAACGTGATAATCAATAGGTGCTTCTTGCTCGGGCTCTTCTACAATCATTTCCGTCTCCTCTTTGGGCTTGATGAGAGGTATGATGGGAGTCCTCTGGATGACAGAGACAGGGTGACATCTGGGCTGCTGTGGAGGGGGAGACGTGGAAGGTTCAGGGGGTTTCTCAATCGGCAAGTACTCTTTCCTTTCTGCGGAGGTAAGGATGTGGTGTCGATGATGACTGCTGCCGTAGGGGATGTCTCCTCCAAGGATGGAAGAGATGAACCTGCGAGGAGGGATGTTCGTGCGAGTTTCGCTACAGTCTGCAGACTCTTTGCTGCCATCTTTGGGTGATGATGATCTAGATACTGGCGATTTGGACTCTGGACGGATCCTTTCTTCTTCTTTCTTCAGAGGTGCCTTATCTGGAAAGAAAAAATATTTTTAGCAAAGGTAAGAGCAAGCGTGTTAAGAACTAGAGTAGGCTTCCGTAAACTAAAATTAAACCAATAGTAAATATAAGTAGATGTAAGTGATGTAAGATGTATAAGTGATCACAACATTTTGTCATATTTATCAAAAATAAATCTGTATGACAAGACAAAATGGGCAACATAAATTTAAATTTAGATTGTATATTGCCACTCATAAAATTAATCTATGCTCATTTAAATTCTACCGGTTGTGGACTGGACCGCCAAAAGCAAGGCCACTCAGGCAATGACCCTGTAAGCTGTTAGGATGATATACACCGGTGCCTATATACAGCCGGCGACGCTAGCGATACCAGCGGTGGCCGCTGGAACCAGCGAGGCAGCATCGCCGCCATTTTGTTCAGGTGTCATCGAATGCGGAAGTATCGGTTGGCCGCGCAAACGCAACGGAACCCGTTACTCTGGCAGTCTTTGTTTCGTTTTTGCCAAACCAAATTGCGGCGTTGTCATCGTTAGGCTATCTTGAAAAACTGAAAATTGGCCTATGACAGTTGGATGGTTAGATCCTGACTGTAACCTTGGCGGCGGCGTAGTTGGTTCACGGACCACAGTGACTTGAACGCTCGGTTTGACAAGCTCGCTCAACAGATGAATCATAATTATTCGCCTTTGATTTGTTCTCATTTATAATGAATCCTTACTTTAAACTGTTATATTGTGTTAGAATCACGTGAAACACCATGTGATAACATAGTATAGTTAAACAACTAGCAATCAAACTGGCAAGTAATTCGAAATGTGATTTACGATAGCTTAATTCAATTTTTAAAACATTGTTAACGCAGACAAAAGATAATATTTTATGAAAATATTCAGCTATAAGTGTGTCTCCACAATCCTTTTTAACATTACCTTGTAAGTCAAAAAGGCGCATGTTAAACGAAATGTTGACTTAGCATAGACTAACCAAGACTTGACCCTTAAAATTTCTTTGTTCAACCTAATCCCCAAACCGACGTCTACAAAAGTTATTGTGGAGTTCATAGTTAGTTAATCATGTATACAGAACCACATAAATCTAGGCTGCGTCTTCTAAATATAGACCTAGTGTTTCATATCAAGTTTCCATTGTAGAAAAAGGTCTTTAGGCGTTAAAATCCTGTTTAATCCTACACAATGCATTCTTATATCCTTTGAACAACTCTTCAGAAATCGGCTAAAATTACTCAACCTTACATGAATTTTACTAGTGTGTAGTCTAATTTATGAAAAATACATATGAAAATATTTGAGTAATATTTTTTTTCGAATCGTAACGTCATACATTTTTTATCCTGTGGTATTTAATCCGGCCAAAATTATCCCCACTCCCCCATCACCTGTTATCACTTCGATGTACAAGAGGTACAGAATACAGACCAACAGACAAGCGGAGCGGCGACCGCGGTCGACCGAGGACGTTTCAAAGTCAAACAGTTAATTTATGATACTTTCGTAACATCGACTTGCAAAGACATCTCGACCATCCGGTACTTGCGAAACAACTAGACTTGACGTATCGGAATAATGGAACTGACGGTAGCAGTTGTTACAGCATTCGTTACATTAAATCATTGACTAACACTAGGTTAAACGTTAAACGTAGTGTTATATAGTCAGTGATTAAATGCAATGTATAACAACGTATTTTTATTTAGTGTAATAAGTTGGAATTACAGAACAATTGTTTTCAAATTTTAAGTTGTAGGGTTGATTTGTAATATTTACGATTGTGTTGCTTACTACAATTACTACACTGTTAGAATTCTATTATAAATAGATTTTGGGAGAATTTAAATCCAGGGACGCAGAGAACTTTAAAGTATCATAAAAATCTAGCAAAATCAGTCTACTCTTAATATAATTCCGATAGCCGATGTGGAATACTCTACTTTACCGTTTGACTATCCCTCTCCATGCAGATTTAATCGATCCTAAATTCAAGATTTAAATTTAAAACCCCATTACAGTATTCTTATAGATGGATCAATTTTTGACCATGTTGAGATTCAAATTGTCTGGTACACAAACAATATTAGCTAAAAATCCAATGAAATCTTCAGGCGCGTCGTGGTCATAACAAAACCACACCGATAATGTAAGGATCGGAGTTTAAATTATTGTTCTAGCTATGTATGGTAAATAATTTTTCTCTAAATCCAACAGTAAGAAATTATTGACTCAGAAATATTTATAAATATTAGCGCCAATTACGATATAATTACGAGGCCATTTACGAAATTCCAACTTGGGTCAACGAACCTAGCATTGCCGGAATGGAAATATCCTACAATAAGGATTAGAAAGGCGACGAAAATAAATGTAGAATTGGGTTGAAGCTATTACAGGCAATACCGTCGTCCTGTAATAGACGAAGATGGAGATAAAGTAATACGTTGTTGGAAGTATAGAGACGACGAGAGTCAAGTGTCTAATCGACTTTAAGTGCATATGCGTCATGTTACGGCTTTGTCTAGGAAGAAGTCAATGACGCATTAGCAGGTGTACAAGTTAATACTTCCCTTCTCTGAGAATCTATCTATCTATATATTAATAGACAAGCATGTTTCTTTAAACCCTTTTTTCTCAGCTCGTGTGTATCGCAGGGAAAATCTACGCATACTGTTAGAAAGATATTTGCCTATAGACGTGCAGAATATCATTATAATTTAAAAAAGGCTCAAAAACAATGAATTTAAAATTTAAAAAAATAACATTGGCCTTATGGGTATGGGTTGCCATGCTGGTTACGAAATAACAACGAAAGATAAACATAAAATGAAAACAAATGGAAGAAACTCTAATCACATGTTTTATTTACAGCTTGGGGTGAAAATAGAGAAGTCTGAACATTTCATATTTTAGGTCGAGTTTTCGACCACTGGACAACCTCTAGTATATATTAATAAAAAAACACCACAAATTTTGTATTATTTTATTTTTCTTTGTTCTTTGATGTCACATTCTTTGATGTCACATTTTTGCGAGTGTAGGAGAACTGGCTAGTCGTCTTATCGAACTCGTAAATTCAGGGGTCATTAAAGTGTCAAGGCGAGTGGAGAAGACTACCTGGCATAAGCCTATTCTCCCCGCCAGTACCATACCGGGTATTTCGCTGGGACTGGGGGAAAGGGGTGGTCGAGTAAAGAGGGGGCGGGAGAGTGAGAGAGAGTGTGAGGAGAGTGAAGGCGTAGACTTCTCATCCCATTGTAAATTTTGAAGCTTGATTTTCGTGTCTAGTTCATACGTCCACACTGATCGCTGGGGTAGACGAAGTTTTGTTTCTATTATTTTAGCTTTATTTTTATGATTTGTGCTTTACTATTTGGTTATATAACTAGGAGACCAGTTATTGTTTATGATTATATCGTTTTATTTGGTTAAATGATGTTTTAAATGACTGAAATAACAGGAAACAAATTAAAAGACTTAATTAAAGAACCTAGGCAGCATTAGTCAATTGGCAATCGAAACATCATTATATACCGTACTAATATTATAAAGCTGTAAGTGTGTGTGTTTGTAATTTGTTTGGGGCTCAATCAAGAAATGACTCGAATTGGGTTAAAAATTTGCATGATGATAGATCATTTTACCCATTAATAAATAGGCCAATTACTATCCCAATAGTTATTTGTGTAACTAGTGGGCGAAGTGGCACTTTGCTGCACACGAGAGAAATGTTTACGCACGATCCGTGGGCGAGTGTTGAAAGTTTCTCGAGTGCGGCAAAGGTAGTTTGCACTCGTGTAACACATTATATTTTTCTACAAATCATATAAATAGTTTAGTCTTTCAAACATGTTTTTAGGTTAAGTTAAATCCAAACATCCAACGAAATGGGAAACTCTGCACCTTCTGATCGTAGTCGTAATAAAGTATCTGTAAGTATTGCCAACTTTATTTTTGAAGCGTACACAGATTACGTGCATACCTAATAAAACCATAGAATAGAAAAACCACGCTGTTTTGTAAGTTACTAGATGTTGCAAGCAAACACAGAAATAAGTTAAGTATTCCATCACTATTTTCATTTCCTTATCAACTTTTTTGAGGTAGCTATTTCAATACTATAAAAGGTTTTGGTTCATCACTAATTAATAGAAAAGTAGTTTTAGGAGTTAATAAATAAAACATAATAATTAGCGTTAATAATGAATTGTAATGGATTTTATATATATACAATATATACAATTATGTTAGACATTATTTATTTTGTGGTATGGCAAGAAGACTGATGAAATTTGATAAAAGAAAAAGAAGCACATAATAAAGGAATATTAAGTTATGAAAGAACGAATTAATATAAAATAGATGAAAGTACTCTACAAGTATTAACCATGGGAACGGGGCTTTACGAGGGGTTTTATGGGGTAAAAATTGGTTTTTCTCACTTTTGACCCTCAAAACACAAAATTTCCCGATCTCTCTTTAGACCTTTTTAAAGAGCTTAAAAAACAAATAATTTAGTATATAAAAGTATTTTTGTTCGATTATTAGTAACGGAGAAAATTTAAAAAATGTTAAATTTAAAATTCCCATGTTATTCTTATGGAGAATATTGTCAAATGTTGTAGTTTGCTTGTTTATGGATATATTTTGATCAAATCTTGGCAAATTTATTTATTTTGTACTAAGCTATCAATATTTTACTCAAAAACACACTTTATTAACTTGTAGCAGCAAACCTAGGTACTCGTTAAACCTAATGTTATTAAAATATATTTAACTGAAAATCAATTCAGACAAATGGAAATTCGCTTAGTCGGCAGGTTTGCTGCGGCGGGGGTATTCGATAGCATTAAAAAGTGATAAGGTTTACCAACACACAATTATATATTTTTCCATTGAGATACCAGCTAATTTGGAGTAAGCAGCATCAAAAAGCTTTGATACACTATGAGAACTGTCAAAGTAGGAATTTTTACAGTAATGTTTATGTTTTTAATTTA